CTGGAAGTGTCCAAGGCCAGGCTGGATGAGGCTTGGAGCAACCTAGTCTAGTGGAAGGTGTCCCTGCCCATGGCGGGGGGTTGGAACTGGATGGGCTTTAAGGTCCCTTCCAACCCAAACCATTCTGTGATTCTGTGATGGCAAAGGTGCTGCTACACGGAGATGGTGGCTAGGGCAGGGCAGGGGGGGCTGGTCCATCACAAACCAGAAGACATACACAGCCAGGGAAGGGTCAGTCACAGTACTGGACCAGGGTGTTGCCATGCCTAGGCCCAAGGATGCTCATGGGAGCAGCAATAGCAGCCACCTCCTGGTTCCTGCCAGGGCAAAGCTTCCACACAAAACCTTTCCTGGGGTCCCATCACCCCCCTGCACCAGCCAGGCACACCACCTCCCAGCCCCGCTGCGGGGCTGCGCATCATCTCCGGGGTGGGGGAGAGCCCCGTGGGCTGCAGCACCCTGGGGAGGTCTGGGAGCCGGCTGCTGACCCAGCACAATCACCCCTTCGCCCCAGGCACCGCTTTGGGTTGCCCCTGGCCTCACCCCGCAGCCCAGTGCCCTTCCCAAACTGCCCGTGGCTCCTGGGGTGAGGCCCAAACCCACCGGGGGGAAAAGGCCAGGGAGCACCTTCCAACCAACCATCAGCCGAACGCCCCGGCAAGGGCCACGCGGCGCCTTGGCGATGCCCCAGCCTTGTCTAAACCCACCTCTCCAGCCCGGTTTTTATTTGCCGTTGCTCTTCGAAGTGCTGCGAAAGACCGAATCCATCCCCGCTGCCAGTTTGATCTCAGATTTACGGCCCAAGCCCCGAAATCCTCCGCTGCTTGTGAGGTCCTTCGAGAGAATCACAGCAGAAAATGTTTATTTCCATCATAAAGATCTGTTTTAATATTTTAACATAAATCAAGCCGCGCTTTATGGTGAGAATAAATTTGTTGGCAGAAACTGCCTTCGCAGCCTGAGGCGGTGGAGCAATTCAATTTGTTTGGTTTTAAGCGTAAGGAGCCGTAATTGAGAAGGGGAAAGTACAGATGTTTTAATTGAGTTTGCAGCTCCCACCCAGAGTCGCAGGAGGCTAATCGAGAAGAGGAGGTGAGGGTCTCCATTAGCCTCTCCGCTTGCCATTTCTCCTTGATCCATCAGTCACGGCCAGGAATAGCTGCTCAGCGCCGCAAGCGGAGGAAAGGGGGTGGAAAAAGAAACCAGACTAAACCAGATGTATAATGTGCACGTTATTGGGTTTAATCCCGTTGTTTGAAAACTAATTAAAGTCAGGACAAGCATCACGTGAGAATCTGTAACGATGAAGTGTTTGCGTTGATGATGGCCCGAGAAAACCAGACGGGTGAGAGGAGCGAGCTCCTGCCCCGCACTGAGCTGGGGTCACCCAGCGTCCCCCCAGCCCATCCCCAGGCAGCGCTGGCTCCCTCGGGCCGTCCCCTTCCCACTTTCTCCGGTAATTTTTAAGGCATTGCTACGTCATGTTTTATATGAAAAATGTTCTCTCCACCCCAGAGCTCCTCTCCGTTAATCACCCCGATCCCTCGGATAGATTTGTTCTGCCGCTGTGCAAGGACAGTGGGTGCCTGGGAATTCCAGGTTATTTATTTCAGAAAGCACTCCTGCTCCTTGGGGAGCCAGAGTCCTTCTCGGTAAGGTGGCACGGCAAAGGCCAGGGTCAGGATGCCAGCCCTCCCCAGGCCACCGCATCCAAGCAGCTCTTCACGCTAAGGCCCCTCAGCAGTCACTGCCACACAGGGCGCCGAGGCCACCCGGGCCAGGGGACAGAAGGCACATCTTTACGTTAAGAGACGCAGGAGAGGGTGTGCCAGGCCGGGCCCCCTGCCCCAGCCTCCCCAGCCTTGCTATGAAAGAGGGGCAGGAAGGGAGGGAGACCAAGGGCAGCCCTAGGAGGGGAAGGGGGGGTGAGAGGGGATGAAATAACCAAGAACGGCCCCGTTCCCTGGCTGGCAAGGGAAGGGGAAGGCAGGAGACCGAGACGGGCACTCGAAGG